TGTCTCCTTGTTACCCCATGAGACTTTGCTAGAGATTGAAAATGCAGTGGAGAGCGGCCGGGCCCTGCTGCCCATCCTGCAGTGGCACAAGCACCCTGATTACTTCAGTAAGGAGGCATCCAAATTGTACTTCAACAGCCTGCGGACTTACTGGCAAGAGCTTGTAGACCTCAATACTGGGGAGTCAACTGATGTGATGGTAAGAAGGCTTTAATCAATACTTTCAAGAGGCTTGATAATGATATATCCTTAGAGGCTCAAGTTGGTGATCCCAATTCTTTCCTCAACTACCTGGTGCTTTGTGTGGCATTTTCTGGGGCCACTGCTTGTGTGGCCCATGTGGATGGTGTTGACCTTCACATGGCCAGTACTGGTGATAGCAGAGCCATACCAGGTGTGCAGGAGCAGGATGGCTCTTGGTCTGCAGTCACTCTCTCTAATGACCACAATGCTCAAAATGAAAGAGAACTGGAACAGCTGAAATTGGAACACCCGAAGAATGAGGCCAAGAGTGTGGTGAAACAGGACCGGCTGCTTGGCCTGCTGATGCCTTTCAGGGCCTTTGGAGACATAAAGTTAAAATGGAGCACTGATCTTCAAAAGAATCTGGTCCAGACCAGGTGAATTACAATGAATATACCAAGTTTATCCTTCCTAATTATTACACCCCTTCTTATCTGGCACTGAGCCAGAGGTCACCTGTCACTGATCAAGGCCACAGGATAAGTTTCTAGTATTGGTTGTGGGAGACAATGCATAGATAGGTTGTGGTTAGGATTGTGGGTGAATACCTTACAGGCATGCATCAACAACAGCAAATGGCTGTCGGTGGCTACAAGGTGACCCTGGGACAGATGCCTGTTGTGGTTAGGATTGTGGGTGAATACCTTACAGGCATGCATCAACAACAGCAAATGGCTGTCGGTGGCTACAAGGTGACCCTGGGACAGATGCCTGGAATATTCTTTTTTTTTTTTCATTTTTATTTTGGTATCATTAATTTACAATTACATGAAGAACATTATGATTACTAGGCTCCCCCCTTCACCAAGTCCCCCCCACATACCCCTTCACAGTCACTGTCCATAAGCATAGTAAGATGCTGTAAAATCACTACTTGTCTTCTCTGTGTTGCACAGCCCTTCCCATACCCCCCCTATACATACTAATCGTAATGCCCCCTTTCTTTTTCCCCACCCTTGTTCCTCCTCCCTTCCCACCCATCCTCCCCAGTCCCTTTCCCTTTGGTAACTATTAGTCCATTCTTGGGTTCTGTGATTTTGCTGGTGGCCTTTTAACAGAAAGGAGAGCCAAGATGTCCTCAGTATTTGAGGATCAGAACGCAGCAACCCATCTCATCCGCCATGCTGTGGGCAACAACGAGTTCGGGGCTGTTGATCATGAGCACCTCTCTAAAATGCTGAGTGTTCCCGAGGAGCTTGCTTGGATGTGCAGAGATGACATTATGATCATTGTGGTTCGGTTTAATTGTCATGTTGTAGGGGCATATCAAAACCAGGAGTAGTGAGTTCTGGCAATTCTCAAATAAAATAGATTTAAAGGGTAGGTAGACTTCAAAAAGATACTCATATAATAAACATTTCCAGTGGGTCATTCTAAGCATTTACCATTGATCCTCTAGCTAGTCAGGTACTCAAAACTGACTTTGCAGCAGGGTTGCAGGATCATGAGCCCTGTTCTGCCTAACTTGAACTTCATACTACCTGCACTTGAGGCAAGTCACTTCCTTGTTGCAGATGTTTTGTGACATGGGTATCAATCTGGGAAAATCAGGATGACCTGGCAAATAGATCTTGAATAGGCCAAAAGCAAGGCTCTTGCTGGGCATATTCTCTCGGTCAAAGGGAAGAAACATTACTGTTCACACCTGCAGACTCCTTTCGCCACTAAGATTCCAATGTACACAGTAACGTTTACTTATTGAATGATGTCCTAGACATACAATCTATGAATTATTCAAATAAATGTATTTTATTTAGCCCTAAGCAGTTTTCATATCCACTACTTTAAGCCATAAATGACTGATAACCAAGCAATCTGAATTTGTAAGTGTTTGTAATTATTTGACTGGAATGCTTCTTAAATGGAAAAATAAACTACTCAGTTCCCCACCCCTAGTTAGCTAATGTGATTGAAACCTTTTTTATTTTGCCACACACTTGAAGACAAAAATGTTTTTAGTTTTATCTACTCTTATATTGATGTCAAATAAAATAAATTTTTTTTAGTTTATATTAATGAAGAGCTTTTATTTGAAATAAAAAGATCCAGAATTCAAAGAAGAGAAAAAAAAAAGACAATGTGAAGATAAGCCACTACTGAGAGAAAATATTGACAACAACATGTCTGCCAAAAGATTGTTACCCTATACATTGAAAGAATACTCTCAACAATAAGAAAAACACACAACCAGATTTAAAAATGAGCCAAAGACATTAACAGTTGCCTCTCCAAAGAAGATATATAGTTGGGAAATAAGCATATAAAAAGTTGCCACATAGCATATGTCATGAGGGAAATACAAATTAAAATGATAAGATGCCATTACTCACCTATTAGAATGAACAAAATGCAGAATCCTGACAAACACCAAATGATAGCAAGTTTGGAACAGGAACTCTCATTCATTGCCAGTGGGAGTGCAAAATTGCACAACCACTTTGGAAGACATTTCAAAGGTTTCTTACAAAACTAACCATACTCTTACCATCCTATCTTGCTCCTTGGTATTTACCCAAATGAGGTGAAAATATGTCCACTCAGAAACTTGTACATGGATGTTAACAGTAATTTTATTCATAATTGCCAAAGATTGGAAGCAACCAAGGTATCCTTCAGAAGGTGAATTGATAAGCTATGGTAGACACAATGAAATATTATTCAGCACTAAAAAGAAATGAGGTTTCATGTCCTGAAAAGACATAGAAAAACCTTAAACACATATTACTGAGTGAAATAATCCATTCTGAAAAGGCCACATACTGTATGGTTCCAACTATATGTCATTCTGGAAATTGCAAAACTATGCAAACAACAAACAAATCAGTAGATGTCAGGGGATGGGTGGGCTGAGGAATAAATAGGCAAGGCACTAAGGATTTTTAGGGCAGTGCAAATATCCCATATGATGTCATAATGGTAGGTGCATATAATTATACATTTGTCTGAACCCTTGGAATTTACACCATCAGGAATTAGCTGCAATGAAAACTATGGAGTTTGTGTGATTATGACCTGTCAATGTTGGTCGTCACTTATAACTAATGTACGACTCTGTTTGGGGATGCTAATAGCAAAGTCTATGCATGTGTGAGGACATAGGGAGCCCAGAAAAGTTGTTTCTAGATATCAATCCAAATAAATAACTTCCCTCTGAGCAGTTAGTAACTGTCCCCCACTGAAATTACCTCTTGTCTCACTTACCTACAGGGAGGCATTTTGCCATAAATTTAAGCTAACTCTAAGAATTCTTTGAAATTAAAAACTGTCTCAGTAGACTCATTATGTAGGTTTAAAATAATAGATTTAAATAACAGTATTTACCTTGTTGTTCAAATCTGATAGACTATTTATTAATTATATATTATTTAGCTAATTTTCCACTGTGATCATACCTCATTTAGTGTGAATAATACAGTTATAGGAAAAAGATTGCTGGTAAATTTTATGTCCATATTTTTTCTCATGATTCCTCAGTACAACATTTAAATGTCTTATGAAATTATATATCAATATTTGTATATTTCTTCTCTTCACTTTTCATTGTCATTATATTTGTTACAGTGCACTACTGCTTCAAATATAGAATTTAGTGAAGACTTTGAGTTAGGTCTTTCTTAAAATGTAGCCCACAGGTTATGAACAATATTCCACCTAGGGAGTTGGTAATAAAGTCAGGATATCTTTGGAACATGGAGCAAGAATCTGAAGGACATAAACATTTGGAATGGAAGCTGTGAGTTGGTATTTTCATCCAATCTCTGGCAATTTCAAGCTAAGTGTTCTTGAGAAATGCTTCTCTATTATCAAATTAAGGAATTTGTCTGTATGACCTGAGACATTCAAACACTACAAAGTAATAACTCTAAAAATAGGCTATCCACACTGAGGTGTATAAGGTCACCAATTTTTATTAGAATACTTATGAAAGGAGAATTCTTTTCTGAATTTTTCTTTACTTAGGTGGGAAACGTTTTCTCTGTGTAAAAATGGTTGACTTAGTCATTTGAAATACTCTTTCTTCTCCACAAATCTCCTAAAATTCATAGTTAGACTCAATTGCTTTTTAAAAACATGATTTAAAGGTAACATTATATGAGGCAGGCTATACTGGGATATGTACATGTGTACTTCACATTCCGAAGGGAGTTGTATTGGTATAAATCACGCCTACTGCGAAAATAATGGGAAGTCAACTGAAGTGATGGGATTTGACGTAAGAAGATAAAATAAACAAGTAGGAGTCTTCGACATTATTAGTGAGCCAGAAAATACAAGCTGGAAGATAGAGAGACACTCCTGACTGGAAAAGAAAGAACCACTGAGAGGGAATCTGGTAATGATATGGGAGAGCTAAACTATTATCTGCATTTAACTGGAGAGAAACAAAGAGTATTAAATTAATCAGTACTTGGAGTTCTGGTTAAATTTTTGATTGAATTTATTTTTGTCAAATAATATGTATTACTGTTCTTTCCCTACCCAACCATCCCCTCCACCTACCCACCCCCACTTCCCTACCTCTTATCCTTCTTCTCTTTCATTTTTACTTCTTTCCTCCCTTCCCTGTTTCATCCCTACCTCCTTCTTTCCTTCCTTGTTACTTTAATTTCCCCTTCCCTTTACATCTAGGTATGATAATTAATCTAGAGGACATAAATTTGTTTTTTCCCTTAGTAGCTCATCAGAAAATTAGTGGTACATTTTATCCCAGCAAACATGTATATTAAGCTCCACTTACCTTTCTTCATTTTCTCTAGGAAGACCCACTACATTATGTGAGACAATGGGAAAAGCAGAAATTTGGCTGATTCGAACATACTGGGATTTTGAATTTCCTCGTCCATATCTACCTAATTTTGAGTTTGTTGGAGGATTGCATTGCAAACCTGCCAAACCCTTACCTAAGGTAGGACTATTACCGTGGGGGATTTTTTATACCTTTTGATAAAATCCTTATTTTTAAAAAACTTTACAGCTTCATTAATAGAGTTACACTGCTGATATCTTCCATTTGCTATACTGGATCTATCTTACAAATCATACAGGTGTCACATGACTGATTAATTTTTTTGGCATTTACTTTGATATTTAAGCTGAAGATGGAAATGATTCAAGTGGGCAAGTTAACAACATGAGTACACCAATAGCTTGGGTGCCAGATTGAAGGGACAGGGAGACAGGGCTTAGGAAATCCCTAAGAGACTGTTACAGTCTTCCTAACAAGCATGATGAAGTCAAGAAAGGGACATTACTGTGACTGAGTGATATAGGTGCTTTCATGAGAACTTGTGAGTAAATTCTACCAGCTTTGGTCAGTAAGAAGACATAAGTGTAGACAGAAGACATGGAATCCAGTAGCATTTCTTGAAGAACAAGGGCCTTTATTGACATAGAAAACAATTGGTGGGAGATGACAATGATGCGTCATTTCTGGACCCATTTACTTTAAAGAGTCAAAGGAATTTCTGGGTGAAGATTTCTAGTAATCATTTGGTTAATACAAGGTCTCTTTCTTAACAGAGAGCATTAGAAAAAGATGGGGAGTCGTCAGCATAAAGTAAAAGTCACAGAACTGAGGGATCCAAACATAGAATTGATTCCTTATGACCATAATGTCAGGTTTTTCCAAAGTCAAAGAAAATTATATATCACATTCCAAAGTCATGAAAGAATAAGTGTGGACTTCCATAAATGGGAGAAAATAATGTTGAGAAATGTAAGAAAATAATAGGTAAACATCATAAGAGTATTGTATTTAATCATCAATTGGGAGTGAGGAGAATGGCACTCATTTGGTTGGGCTGTAGGTAAGTGAACATAACCTCTGAGAATATTCAGGTTAAATGGTGCTCCGGGAGAGTTTTTGATTCCTCTTTTGAGTTAGATGCAAATTTAAGTTTAAATTTCATTTCAGATTCTGTATATGCTTTTCTTATTAGTCAAGTTATAGCTTCTGGCAAGTGTTATTACAGCACATAATACAACAATATCTGAACAAAGGTACAGAGAGAGATATGACCTATTCCATGGCTCATTAGATAATATCCCATGCCACAGTATTGTGTTTATCCTCCCATCCCCTTTTCTCTCTCTCTCTCTCTCTCTCTCTCTCTCTCTCTCTCTCTCTCTCTCTCACACACACACACACACACACACACACAATTTCACAAAAACAAGTCTGACATGTTTTTACAAGAGAGGGAAGAGTATTCCATTACAAATCCAAGACATTTGGGCAATATGAACACCACACATGGCCTATATTGCTGATGAATAATTATATAACCCTGTTGAATAAAAAATGCATAATTAAATATGATAAAAAAGCAATCAGAGTCAAATTAAGAGTCCAAATCCAACTGCTAGGTATATAAATCTGTGTGTGTGTTTATTCAGTCACCTTCTGTTTAGGGAAATGAGTCAATATAGTAAAACACCAATTCCTGGAATTTCAGTGATATTCTACCAACATTAAGTAAGCTAAAACAGTGGTATGCTTCCATTTATGGCATAATCATTGCCTTAGTACTTTTGCTAGCATTAAATTGAGAAATATAGTGATTGCAGGGCAGCCACAAATAGTTGCACAGGGAATGCATGACATTCCTAGGTGACATTCACATAGATTACAATGTGAAAGAGGCCATCCCCAGACTTTGCAGTGCCTCCTTGCACAATTGTAGGGAATTTTATTTGCAGAGAATTTTAATTGCAGAGAAATTTATATTTTACCTCTGTGCTAAGGCTCAAACTAACAGCATACAGCGAGTGTCACATTCTTGTGGGAAGGAAGAGCAGCAGTGTCTTGTAAATGTAACCAGAATAGCAGGAGCTTAACTGTGTTACTACCTTTTAAAACATATTACTATATATATCCCACTTATAAACAATTCCTTTTTAGCCCTGTTAATCAGGGAAGGAGTGAACATGAGAAAAATATCCTGAATGCCTGCCTAATAGGATGTTAGATCAATTTATTAATAATTCATTAGTCTTAACTAGCATGCTAAAATATTTAATAGTCTAGATCAGAACCTGTTATGTTTCCTTCCAAAGAATTTTTATGAGTTTGCAAACAACTCTGTTGGTTCCTAAAATTAAGCCTTGGGAGTAAGAGTTCCATTGACAATGAAAAGAGCTGTCTCTTATTACCTATTCACTTTGTATAATGTTTGGATCATGCCTTTATTTGTAATCACTTGTTATATATTCAAGCCATACTTTTCAGGAACAACTTTCCTCTTAAAAAGATTGGAATGATTCTATGTGGCAGAAGACAGAACCAGTCAAACAACATCTCTAACACTTCTCTGGACTCTGACTATCTAAAAGTGTGGTGAACTTTTTACCCCTGTGATATTGAACTTTTGTAATAAAATTTTATCTCTGTAGGAAATGGAAGAATTTGTCCAAAGTTCGGGTGAAGATGGTGTTGTGGTGTTTTCTCTGGGGTCAATGGTGAAAAACCTCACGGAAGAAAAAGCTAATGTCATTGCCTCAGCACTCGCCCAGATCCCACAGAAGGTCTGTACAAATCTGATCCTGGCCAGCAGTTACTTTGCCAACTGGAGAGCAAGAGTAGCTAATAAGTATTTGCTGCAGATCAAAGCTGAGCAAAACTGACACCACTTTCAAGTAAAAATTCCTCAAAACATTAAAATGGCATATTTGGGCACCTGTGATTATTTGCTTACTGGGACTTTGCATTACTATGAAGATAACATCTTTTTATATAGTTATATGTTTTCAGTAAAACAGATATGAAAACTTTAAGATTCCATAACCTTTTACCATTTGAACTCTTAAGACCTGCACTGACTACTCCCAAAAGTTCTCAAGTGTGTTAGCTCCAAAGTCCAGGAAAAGAGAGAGTTTGTACATAGAGAAGAAACATGCTCAAAAATACACTTCCTGTCTCTAGGTTTTATTAAGACTCTATCAAAGTGTAGTTGGTTTAGAAGTAGAAGCCTAATATTTCTAAATTGTAATATCTACAGTTAAAAACAATTCAAAATCTAATAATACTGTCAAACAATATATATTTTCTAATTTATGACATTCAGGCAACATGAATTTTGTTGTCATTACAATTCTAGATTTCTATTCATGACTCTTTATATTTGTGCATCAGTTAGTGTGCATAAAGCTCTAAAATATAAGTACATAATTAGGCCAGTTAAAACTGGATTTTAATTTTAATTCCTAAAGTTTTCTGTTTAAAACTTTGCTGCCTATTAATATTAAATCTGAAATTTGTCTTTCAGAGTGCCACAAAAGAAAAAAATGGGTGATAAAAGGATAACGTCTTAACAAGATGTTAATACTTTATTAAGCAATGAAATATAAACCAACCTCCTACTCAGCCTTAATTATTTTCAGTAACTGAGAAGGAATGAAATAATAGAGGAGGGAGGGAGAAAGGCAGGAAAAAAGGGAGGGAGAGATGGAAGAATTGGAAGAAGGAAAGACAATCGTCCAGAATGAGAAACTTAAAATTTAAAGCTAATTATATTTTTGGAAAACATTACATTTGAAACACTAGTGCTAGGATGGCCTCATGATACAAATGAATTTGCATAGTATTTGTTTTAATGACTTTTGACCCCCATATTCTGATTGCTTAAATTAGTCTGATTTGTTTTCTATTTCTTCACTTAAAATCTCATGCAAGAGACTTTTAAGTGATAAGTATAAAAATGATAAAGTTATTATATTATTAGTACAAGCCCTTTCAAAAATGGTAGACATAAACAATCCTACCATATCTCAGTGTTTGCAAACTAGCCCTTATGTACACTTCTCTCACTGTCACATAAAGTACTCTACAGTTTTTAAATGCCTTCATTGTGCACTTAAACTTGTAAAATTAAAGCACTGTCTTCCACAGGTTTTATGGAGGTACACAGGAAAGAAACCGGCCACATTAGGAAGCAATACTCGGCTCTATGATTGGATACCCCAGAATGATCTCCTTGGTAAGACTGTGGGGAAGAAAAGCTGTACAGTTGAGTAATGGACAAGTTAACTGCTTAACAGCAAATAAATTCAATAGCTACTTAATAATTTAAAATTTTCACATTTTACTTCTAGTTTTCAAACAGATATAATCAAAGTATTGGCCATTAATTTTATAGATCCATGCTCCCTCTTGTCACAAAAGAGCATCTTCAGTTAAGAGTCTCATCAGGTTTCAATCTCAGTTCAGATAATCACCTCCTCAGTGCAGATAATCACTTTCTAGATAATGCAGAGGAAGATAATCCCTTCTTTCCTGGGATCATAGTTTTCTGAAATAACCATACCACATGTGCTCAGCTTTTATAGAAAATACTGCCTTCCTCATTAAGTTACCCCATAGTTTTTCCCCATTCTGTCTCTCTCTCTCTCTCTCTGAAACTCTGTTAATGTATTGTAATGAAATCCACACCCACTTCTCACCCAATCCCCAAACCAGGTCATCCCAAAGCCAAAGCTTTTATCACTCATGGTGGAACCAATGGGATCTACGAAGCTATTTATCATGGGGTCCCCATGGTGGGAGTGCCCATGTTTGCTGACCAGCCTGATAACATTGCCCACATGAAGGCCAAAGGAGCAGCTGTGGAGGTGAACATAAACACAATGACAAGCGAAGACTTGCTCAGTGCCTTGAGAGCAGTCACTAACAATCCTTCGTAAGTACTGCTGCTTTCTAAAGGTTCACCATTGGCTATTACCTACCATTCCCTGAATGTCCAGTGTTTCATGCCTTTGTAATTTGTTTATTTTCAAATGACAACCATAACATGACCAATATAGAAACCACTTTATTATTTCATTTCCCAAACTGCTGAAGTGATTTGCTGAAATTGGAAAAAAAGGACTAAGTCTTAAATATTCTATCAGTGATTTTTCAAAATAAATAATGTTAATAATTGCAGAAAGTCATAGGTATTTTTCTGAATAATAGCCTTATTTTTATAAACACACACATATATGCTTATTTAAATATTGTAACTATCCAGTAAGAACAAAAGTGGAAGTGAAAATTTGCCCAATTGCTTGAGAATAACCATCAACACTGAGTGTATACTATTCATCATTATATACATATATACAGGAAAGAGAGATAGAGTAGGTAATCATTTTATAAATATTGTTAGTACTATGTGTGGATTTCTAAACAAAATTTTGAATTTTACCTCATTAGCTAAAGATTAATTGAAGTGAACATATAAACTATATTGAGTTTACATATATATCATTGTATCTCACTTTTGTTTCTCTGAAATATCTCACCAAAGTGAAGAATTAATTTAATATATAAATATATAGTTTGGGGTCTTTATGTTTAACTCTGTGCTTTAATTTTAGCAACTAACCACTGAACTCCTAATATGGAAGTAGCCTCATCTCTAGTATTACTTAAAATTTTAATTTGTCAATATTTATGGCAATTGTTTTCCTCAAATTTAGTCTTTTAGGTATATTTTAAGGGAATAAATATTCACCCTTGAATCAGAGATGCTTTATTCCACAATTTTTTCAATTGAGTCTTTATTTTTTATTTTTTTCAATTGAGTCTTAACTAAATATGTCATATAGAATTTTCTCTCAGTAAAGACTGAAGAATATTGAGTGCCCTGAGATCATGTGTTTGCTCATTGCCTTGACATCAGAATGAGACCTATATGAATGAAATATACTTAGGGCTTTCTTTTTCAGAACTATGTAAATATTACTTATGTTCTAGCTTTAAATGATGAGGCCTATATGATCATTTTTTCTTTTAGTTTCTTTTACAACCTAGAGAAGAAATACTAATTTTTTGATTCAGAAACTTATTTTTTAATTATGATGTATCTTTATAAATTATTTTCTACATTTCCCTGGGCATAGGTGTGTCTTTCAATATTGCTAATACAGGATTAATGTTTTTTTTGACTTTTGTTTGTATTGATTAGAATATTTTTTGGTTCCATTTTTTATTTCTATTTCAAGGACATCAGATTTCAATGTTATCTATGTTAAAATTGGTCTGTTTTCCTTCCCTATTATTTTCTCATTGTTCTAATCAGTTTTTACTTTTCTTCATTCACTAGGATTGCCTCAAATAGTCCATAAATTAATAAATTCACTTTTTTTTCCATGAGCACTGCTTGCTTTTCTAATTTCTCTATTAATCCTTTAAAGAGTTATTCTTAAAAGTTATTTCAACAGTTCACCTATATCCAACACCTCTTCTTGTTATATAATCTGACTGTCTCTTATTCATAACCCTCCCAGTGTTATTATACTTCAGCTCTTTTTTTAAATTACATATTATGCTAATCACATTCTAAGTCTGACATTTTTATGTTTTTTACCCAATATTGTATAAGTTTTATCAAGGCATGATTTCCGTCTAGCTGTCTCAATATTTGCTCTGAATATATGTAATGCCTCCTATTTAAACTTCTTCCCGGATTATCTCAGATGCAATTATTTTTAGTCAGAGGAAAAAATGAAGGATAGATACAATTTTCCAGTCATATTACTGATACCTGAAATTCAGTAGGTAGGGGGGAAGTAAACTCAGATAGAATTTTGTGCAACTATCTTTAGGGGAATCAGTCTGTGTAAAACCATCTGTTCAAAGCCCTAGTAGCAGGGTTTTCTAGACCAACAGGCTTATGGTTTTTTTCCAAAAGGGAGACACTCAGTATTTGCCTTGAATCTATTCTAAAAATTCAGCCCCAGTAATCTGTTTTACCCTCCCACCATAGTCCAATCAAATAACTTTTGTTAAGATTTAATTTTCAGAATAGTATAGAGCTCATCAATTCAGGAACTGGATCAGGGGCTAGGAGTCTCAGCAAAGCTTACCATGATCTTTTATCTCATAAAGGATGATCTTGATATCTAATCTATTAGTCTATCACTAGGTTGTTAATTGTTGATAATTTGGTTCATTTTACTGAATATCAGAGTATGTAAGTTCAGTACTTTTTAAATTTTGACTTCATTTCATAGAATTCTCATTAAATTTTATTGTTGATTTGAAAATTATTGGTGCAAAATACAGAATCATAAATACTATGAGAATTTTCCAAGAAAATACCTAAAATTGTATATTTTAAAATAACTTAACATTAACCTTAACCTAACACTAATTCTGAAATTATCTGGGAACAAAACAGCTCAGTGTAGAATGTGTATAGAGATGTATTTGTATGCTATTTTTGTATTCCTTAGAAGAATTAAGGAACACAAAAAATTACATTTAAAAACATAAACTGTGGTAATGCAATATTTCATAATATTTTAACAGTCATAAAACATTGTGCACTAAAATATTATATAATCACTTTAAATATAAGCATAACCCTTTCTTATCCCATCTCATTTATAGGAAACCATACTAAATTTTTATCTAGATTCACAGATACAAATTCATCTATCAAGTATATGTGTATTTCAAATTTTAAATCTCTGTCTATAAATGCAGAAACCTTGAACAAAAATGTGATTTGAAGAGAAAAGCTTTCATCACCACTGTGGTTTGCCTAAAATGTACTAGGATGAATCATGTGAAATGCTTGTTTTGATCTTACCTGTATTTCAATCCAACTGAGATAGAGTATGACTGCTTTCTCACTGCACACAAAGAAAGAACACAAATAAATTACACCCTGCTGCTGGGTCCAGTGTACTAAGTTCACTAGTCAATGATGATCACAATGATCTCTTCACAAATCACCTTCTGCCATCTTCATGTTTCCAGGTTGGAACTTTTATTCTTAACATGAAACCAAAAGGAAATATACTAATTCTGGCTCAGCCAACCAAGAAATGGCAAGTGAAGACATAACTTGCCTCTTAAATGCACACCTATACCCTTATAGAGGTTATACAGTTACCACCTCTATAACTATTGCTCCTGGGATGCCACACCGATTAGGGGCTCTAAAGCTAACAAGATGTTTTTATTTACCTTAAAAACTCAAAGTCCATGACTTTGTCATTGCTAAAATTTTCCTAGGATCTTCATCCAACTTTGACATTGCCAATACAGACACTGTCTTTTCCACCACAAAGATGTAAATTGTGCAATGGAGGAATAATCACAGGGCCAAGATCCCAGGCCCTGCAGAAAGGCTCCCTGATGTTGACTTTCAGCGCCCTGTGTCTGTTATAATTAACTAGCCAGATATTAGATGCCATCCTTGTGGACTTTCTAATGGCAATTTTTCCACAAAATTGGGTTATTTATAATCTTGGTCTCAGAACAATCCTGGAAACTATACACAGTATCAAAATTCCTTCTTAGAAAAATTAAGCTATACTTTCACAAGCTTACTCCGATTGATCAATGTTTGCTTTTCACCACGATCTAGTAAGAATTTATTTATTTCTCACCCTCCCTTCACTTGGAAAATGCTGTGCAACCGGCATGGTTGCACATGTCACGGCAGGAATTAAATTTTTCCTCAGCAGATCTATTGCTTTTGGTTTGTATAACGTGTATCACATACTTACTTTTATTGAAAAAAAATAAGCCGGTTTCTATGTTTTTGCCTCCCAGTTATAAAGAGAATGCTATGAGGTTATCAAGGATTCAACATGATCAGCCTGTAAAGCCCCTGGATCGAGCGGTCTTCTGGATCGAGTTTGTCATGCGCCACAAAGGAGCCAAGCACCTGCGGCCAGCTGCCCACGACCTCACCTGGTTCCAGTACCACTCCCTGGATGTGATTGGGTTCTTGCTGGCCTGTGTGGCTACTGTTATATTCTTGGTCACAAAATGTTGTTTGCTTTCTTATCGAAAACTTGGTAAAGCAGGGAAGAAGAAGAGGGAATAGATCTAAGTTTGGCAAAGGCCTGAATGGGCGATCTGTTCATTCTCATCACAGTGACCTTAATGAAAACACATTGTTTCAATATGTTTTCAAAGTTCCCAATCCTCTCCCTTAGCCTAGAGGTAAAGCCTAGAATTCAATATCATTAACTAGTGGGCATCTACTCCCAATCTTCCTTAGTCTCTTCCCAGGTGGCTCTCCCCTCTTGTTCCTGACACAGGAACAACTAATAATTTTATGTATATTCTATTCATCATATCAGTTTTTTCATTATGTTTAATCTTAAGAATATGCTGACTGACAATATGCTGAATTCTGGGGAGCACACAAAAGGTGAACTGAATTTGAAAGATGTAGGGAAGACAGAAGAATAAAATGCACAAGTTCCTCTAGAACTTAAGAATCAGGGAACCATTACAGGAGATTAGTATGTTATAAGAAGAGTAATGATTTTCTTCTTTCATAAAAATAAGCGCTTCTGCCTGTCCGATGTTATGGGGTCAGAGTCTGAATTGATAATAACTATAATGGCACATCACACTAAGAAAGGTCTACAAATTTCTATTGAACACACAGATAATCAGAGCCTATGACCCTGCCTTTACTCTACAATTATTCTCATGTGCCCTTTAATGCAAGGGTCTGGGGACAGCCTTCAAACAAAAGAGATTAATTCAGTCACTATATTTTCTCGAGCACAGAGAATGTCAGCAATATGTTAAAGGTGAACAGATGATTTTTAGAGGAAATGA